CCCAGGCCAAGCACTGGGGATCTTTTGCTTATGTTTAGTAATCCTTGCCCCTCAGATTTGAAGCAGCATAAAAGATTCACTTCCTCCTTGTCAGAGTTTTTTATTCCTTGCCCTCTTCTACTTTGAGTTGCCAGTTCAGCTGTTGGGAGCAATTTACTTGCACAGCTCCTCTTCCTGGGGTGGGCGGGGGCAATCAACAAAGTCTCTTGTCCTCTGAAGTTTCACAATGGTTCGTCTGGTGCTGATGGGCCTCCCTTGGTTGGGCGGAAGATAACATCTCCTGTTGGAAACTGGTATTTCGCACTTGCTAATGCTTCTCTCCTGTCTGGTGATTTACAGTTACAGAGCAAACCTCTTACATATTACCTTATACATGGGCGGCGGGTACCGTAGGCATGGGAAGGCTCTGCCTTCCCAAACAGCCTGATGTGTTCCCGTCCATGCTCCAGTCCCAGGCCCCATCCTGCCTGCTGTAAGGCTGTTTCCTTTGTGCCAAAGACTGGGGCAGGTAGGTTGGGGACCATGCCACGCCACGCATCCTCCTGGTGCTGGGGCTGGAGCTGGCAGCTCGGCTGGGGGGCGCCTTCAGGGGTGAGGGGGCCAGCCTGCTGGGGGTTGGGCCGGGTGGCGCGGCCTGGGGAGGCTGGGGCCGTGCTGTCCGGCACTCTGGGACCAGGGGGGCTGAGGCTGTGCTGTTTGGTACTCTGGGGCCGGGGGGGCTAGGGCCACCATGCCTGGTACTCCGGGGGTGGGTGGGGAGGGGCTGGTGGCGCTAGCCTGGGACAGTGCCAGTGGCCACAGGGGGAGGGGGTGGACTGGGGGCACTGGGCAGGGGCCTGCTGCCACAGTGGAGGCTGGGCTTCGGTGGGCATGGAAGGGGCGGGGCCTCAGGTGAAAGGGGTGGGGCTGGGGCTAGCCTCCCCAAGCCAGGGGTTCACCCACTCCCTATGACCTTATACCATGGGATACAGATGTTATAATGCATGCAGCAACTCACACACATTTCATAAAAGCTTAACACATTCTTATAATTCTAATACCTTTTTTAACAATATTAACCCACAGGTGAGCCAGACGGCTTCCAGCTATGTATTGATCAGTGTTCAGTTGAGACCTAGGGGTCTTGGCATGAGCTGTCACCTGGTCTGCCACACCACAGCTAGATTCTTGAAAGAGCAGAATTGTGTTGGTATTTGGATTGGGATATCTCAGAAGGAAAAAAAATACAGTCCTGTGGTAGGCCAAGCAGTTGTAAATCCTGTATATAGTTGGAAACTGATCATGAATAAAGAACACAGGTGTTGCACCAGACTGAAGTATCCCTGATTCATGGAGGAGAGGGGCCAAGGGGCCGAATCTGGAGGGGCGCTGTCGGTACCTTGTTACACACATGTACAATTTTTTTGCATAAGCCTTTTAATAATAGGCTCATATAGGACAACTACTGAAACAGTAGCTTCTTTTTTCACTAAAGAGGTAGCCCTCCTGCTTTTTGGATGCAGAGGTGTGGGGCTCAGTTCCATGCTGGAATGGATACTTCACAAATACAGATAATCCTGTGGAGATGATGTAAATCAGAGTCTACACCAATTACACTAACGGAGAACCTGCCCTTAGGTTCTGTGGCAATATGAGCCTTGATCATCTAAAATGAAACTTAATAATTGTAAGTCAAATCATGAGACCCTTTTTCAGTTTTCACCCAGTTCTTCCTTACACATTGAAGTCCATAAGAGTTTGGCCTGAGGAAGGATCCCAGAATCTGGCCATATTTCTGACCAAAGGGAATTAATTTTTATATCAGGAAAGCTAGCAATGCAGTGGAGAAAACAAAGGAATGTCATGAAGGAAAGGCCGTGTACATGCCAATGTACCTGATTTGCATTTAGGCTACAGTCGTGAAGTTACGTAGCTGTTAAACAGCAGCTAGGAGAAAAGTCTGAATGTTGCACTCACCTAATCTATCGTTATGAGCAAATAAATAATGATCTACCACCCTTCTCTCCCTCTTCTACAACTGCTAACTACACTGGACTCACTTCTGGTTGTGTAGCGGAAGCCAATTAAAAATGTTGCCCATGCTAATTGAATAAGGATGCTTGAATAGAAGTATGACCTCATGTCTAAAATGGTAATGAGGGCTGTTAAACACAACAAAGAATCAAAGAGAAAATAGAAACTAGGGTGATGAGGAGAACCATTGCAGAGTGACATGATATAATACCCGGCAGTCAGAGTGCTGCGAGAGAGAAAAAATGTAGAGATGTTAGACTTTTAATCCTACTTAATAAATAGACTGGTCCAGTGTCGATAGCTAAACTGTCACTCAGACCCCCATTCAGAAAAGCACTTAAGCATAGAAATAGAAATAGAAATAGAAATAATGGAGATATCCCATCTCCTAGAACTGGAAGGGACCTTGAAAGGTCATCGAGTCCAGCCCCCTGCCTTCACTAGCAGGACCAAGTACTGATTTTGCCCCAGATTCCCAAGTGGCCCCCTCAAGGATTGAACTCACAACCCTGGGTTTAGCAGGCCAATGCTCAAACCACTGAGCTATCCCTCCCCCCATATTCATAGGTCCATAGATTCCAAAGCCAGAAGGGACCATTGTGATCATCTAATCTGACCTCCTGTATAACACAGGCCATAAACTTCCCTCAAATAATTCTCAGAGCAGATCTTTTAATAAAACATCCAATCTCGATTTAAAAATTAGCAGTGATGGTGAATCCACCACAACCCTGGGTAATTGTTCCAATGGCTAATTAAATCTCTGCTAAATTTTACGCCTTATTTCCAGACTGAAATTATGTTTAAGCATACAAGTAATCTCTTCCTTGTTAAACAAAGCACTTAAGACCATACTTAAATTGCATTAAATTTCAGGTGATTGTGTTGCTGCTTGTGTTCTTCCTTTATTTAATGAATTTGTTATGTGCTGGAATGAGCTGAATCCTCAAGAAGTCAGCTGCAGCCCGCACGGAGGGATCCAGTGTAGTTTTGCCCTGGAATTCTTCTGCTGCTAAATAATGAGATCATGGCTGAAAGCAGTCAGTTCATGATACTGCATAGATTGTGGCCATGCACATGGAAACTGAAGGGTACTTTCACTGGAGAGCCCCCTCTTCTTCATGGGAGCAAGAAGAGTCATGTGACAGGGTTAGCATGGCACCCCCAAACCTCTGAATCTGAGCAGGGATGAGCCCCTGCAGAAGGGCCCTCTCTGGTGTGCTTGTTCAAGCCAGTGGTAAGACCTCATTTGAAATACTGCATACAATTCTAGTCACCCATGTTTGAATTTAAATTGGAATAGATGCAGAGAAGAGCTATTTGGGTAATCAGGGGAATGGAGGGCCTTTCTTATGAGAGGAGACTGGAAGAGTTTGGCTTGTTTAGACTAGCAAAAAGAAGCCTAAGAGGGGATATGACTGCGCTCTATAAATACATTAGATGTAAATATTATGGAGGGTGAGGTGCTATTTAAGCTAACCGACAATGTTGGTACCAAAAAAATGGGTATAGGCTGGCCATGAACAAATTTAGACTGGAAATTTAAAGGTTTCTAACAGAGGGGTGGAGTTGTGACAGCAAATGACAAAATTTGTTTTAAGAGAGAGCTGGACACATTTGGGAGAGCAGTTGTATGCCAGGGTTGCTTGTGATGGTGTGGAGGGAACAGGGTCCAACAGCCCAGGACTCACTTCTGGTTTATGGCCTGTGCCCCTAAGTGTCATGCTTCAGGGGTTCAGCTGGCTGCTGGCAGGGGGTTGTTTTTCCCCAATATATTCTGAGGGTTGAGTTTTTTAATATATTCTTCCTCAGAAGGATCAGGGATGACGATGGCTGGAGATGGGACACTGGGCAGGGCGGCCAGGGCTCTGAGATGGCACCGAGTATTCTCTCTTTCTATTCTCAATCTCATGCTTGGCTGGCTGGTTCTTGCTCACATGCTCAGGGTCTAACCGATCGCCATATGTGGGGTCAGGAAGGAATTTCCTCCCAGATCAGACTAGCAGTGACCTTGGCGGGTTTTCACCTTCCTCTGCATTGTGTGGGTGTGGGTCACTTGCCAGAATTATCTGAGTCTATCTGACTTAATCATTTCCCTGCCATTTCAGGGGCATTGGACACTGGTACACCTTGGTCCCTCCTATTCTCTGCCTGAAGCCCATAATAGTCTAGTCTCCTATGGATCTTATTTTCTTTGGTCTCATTTCCATTGTTGGGTTTAGTGTTGGGTGCTGGGTGGTGCTGGTGGCCTGTGATATACTGGATGTCAGCGCAGATGACCTAGTAGTCCCTTCTGGCCTTCAACTCCATGACTCTGTTCTTTCCCTCCTTCTGCGCCAGAGTGAAATCCTCCAGGGGATTCCCCTCTTGCAAGTGCTCCGGGTGGCACAGCCGCAGCACCCCCAGCTCCAGAGATCCGGGCAGTGCGTGCTCCTGTGCAGCCAGCCCCAGAGCACCGCGTGGTGCTGACTGAGCACCAGGCGGGCAGCACTGCCCCACCACCAGCCGCCCCCAGTCCCTGCGGGAGGCAGGCCAGCCAGCCCCAGCCAGCCTGGGCCAGTCAGGGCAGAGCGCTGGGAACTGCAGGAGGGGGCCTGGCCTGGGGCGGAGTGTGGGCAGGGCCGCAGTAGGCTGTTTGGGGAGGCACAGCCTCCCCTACCTATGATACCCACTGCCCATGTGGACAGCCTTCTAAAGTTCTGCAGCCCTGCTAAATTCCCCACTTCCACCTTGCTCGGAAATACTCACGGCTACAAATGATTTAATAACTTCTAGACAATCAGACCTTTGGGGCTGTGTCTTGGCATGAGCTTGTGCAGTACCCAGCATAAAGGGGCCCCAATCCTGAGCAGGGCCTCTGGGCGTTACTGTGGTATAAATGTTAAATATATTAATCATTTAAACCATATGGACCCTAGAGACAGTATGTTTTACTCCATGTGCCATCTCAAATAACCAGCGCCTGTAATAATTGCTGTTCTTTTCAGTTACAGGGTTAATGGCAGCCTTCCTTCTCTGTGGCCTGCAGGCACTGTCTTTATTGTGGAGTGGGGAGAAGCTAGGGCCGTATCCATACAACAGTGGAGGAGGCTGCCACCTGGTGATGAAACAGTAAGATTGTCATGTTATTTGAAGAGGATCAATACAGCTGATTTATTCAGACCTGTATGGACAGCCAACAAGACACTGCCTTGACTGGGTGTGTGGAGGTGGAGGTTTGCACAGGTGCGGAGTGGGTTCCTGCTGTGACAGAGAATGCCTGTTAAATAGTTGCCACCACACAACTGTGGTTGAGCATAACAGTGTCACTGACTGCAAGCCCCCGGCACACCTGAGACATGGGGGAAATGAGATGAATTTCAAGGTTGTTATTGTCACTGGAAAAACGTGAGCTGCTGGAGGAACTTGGCCCAGTGTTGGCCTCCCTTCCACTGCAGGACTGACCACCACCTTCCCCACTGCCCAGAAAATATGGCCGAATGAAGACTAAGGATGTGCTATGGAGCCTGGATTCAACTGCTCTGACCTGTGTGACAGCTACTCCAGTTGGAACAGCCAGGCGCGGAGGCAGAGGACCCTGCAGGATCTCTGCACGATAACGATTGTACGTACCAAGATGGGGACTGGGCTACTCTGACCTTGAATAGCTAGGTTCTACGCAGAGGAATGAGTTTGGGGGAGGCCTCTGGAGAGGAGGAGCACACCAGAAAACTTTCTAGGGGAAACTTCTCCCCAGTGGGAGTGAGGATGCTTGGCTTGTGGAGCAGTCTCCCAAGGGAAAGGAAGGACACCCCAATACATGTGGTCTTTAAAACTTGTCTGGGTAAAAGCCTGGCAGGTAGAGTGTAAGGAACCAGCCTGGGGAAATAGCCAAGGAATTTGAAAGAATCTTTCCCAGTTGAGCTAATGTGAGAGTGGAACTGAAATGACCTTCCGTCCTCTTGACCCCCCACCTTCCCTGGAACTTCAAAGTGCTTTTCAAATATTAATAAAGAGGGATTTAATTAAAAGCCACCATCCATGATAGTTGGGACCTCCTCTCCCCTGCCCCGTAAGTCATTGAGCTCTTGGGGATGACACAGGAATGATCTTAGTTGGCTAAGTCTATTTTGATATAATTTTGGAAGAAGAATGTAAGCCACTGTTTCCAATCTGGGGCTGCTGTCTTTGTGCCTGTCAGCGTTTGCATGGGCCCAGCTGGGCATGAATGCTGCTTGGCCTTCTACTGAATCCCGTGCTAGCCTCCACGCTGACCTTTAATTAGAAGATTAAAGCTCTTTGGTTCCCCTAGCTCTGGCTGCTTTATTACAACTAATATTCCCCTGTCTGGGCCATGAATTATACTCCACTCACCTGCTGCTGAAATACTCCCCCAGAGTTCAGAGCCCCGTGACCTCCAACAGAACAGTGATTGTTTTGTGTGTGAAGGAATGCTTGGCTTCCCCAGGTGGTTCCTGAGATAGAGTTTGTAGCCATGCTTCAGGCAGGGGCTGCTCAAGGCAATCTGCTGCCCTAGGCAGAACATCACTATGTCTCCCTCCCCTCCCACTCTCTTATAGCAGCAAGGTCCTCCGTAAACAGGCTGCCCTGGAAGGGCACCCACTGGGATCCACCAACCCTAAGAGCCAGCAGCCCTGCCCAGCCCCACCCAGCATTAGGGATCTAGCCCCAAGAGCACTCGCGGCATAGGGTTCCTTCCATCTGTTCCCCCTCCCCATTGGGCTCTGAGTGGTGTCAATCCAAAGTGCAGGGGGAGCTGCACCAGGATGGGGGGGAAGTCCCTGACATGAGGCTGGGGGGGAGGGTGGCTATGCAATACATGGGTGGAGCAATGGGAGATAATACAGGGGGACTGGGAGTAGGACATAGAGGGAAGATGGGGGACTAGGAATACAGGGGCAGTGAGTAGATCATGGGGCAGATAGCACGGGGGATAGGACACAGGGCAGATGTGGCAGGAGGCTAGAGAATGGGGCCAGTGGCTTGGAAGGCAGCAGGACACAGTGGGACAGGATCCTGGGGGAGGGGAATGACTGGGGGGCAGACTCCAAGGTGTCAGGGAGCAGATGAGGTGAGAGGTAGATGAGGGGGCAGAACCTTGGGGGGTAGCTGAGCCAGGACAGGGGGAGAGATGGGGCCAGGAAGGCTAGGACAGGGGGGATTAGGACATGGGGTGAAGTAGGGGACAGCTGGGGAGTGGGTAGTATGGGGGGAGGGGCAGGGGACAGATGAGGGACATGGGGTGTCACATACCTGGTTGCCTCCTGCCCTGGAGGGCCCCTCATCCTTGACTTGCCTGGGGAGAGACCAGCAGCAGCTGGGCCTGGCTGTGAGCTGCTGCTGGGCTGGGCCCTCCAGCTGTGTGCTCCATGCCAAGGCCTCTGCGCAGATGTTAATGCACCCAGATGCTGCACATCCTGCTGATACACATTAACAGTTCGTTAATGCACTTTGATCTAGTCCTGTTTCAAAGATTAGATCAAAGTGTATTAAGAAACTGCTAACGTGCGTCTGCAGGGTCCACATGGACAGTTACTCTGTGTGGGGTAGATTCACATGCCAGCTTGCCGTGAACTAATCTAAGGTTTTGTCTACACTAACACTTTTGTCGGTAAAACTTTTGTTGGTCAGGGATGTGAAATAAATACACACACACCCATCTGACATAAGTTTCACGAATAACAGCACCGGTGTGGACAGAGCTATGTTGGGTGGGAGACGCTGTCCTGCTACCATAGCTACTGCCACTCGTTGGGGGTGGTTTAATTATGCTGGTGGGAGTGCTCTCTCCCATCGGCATAGAGCGGCTACCCGGGAGACCTTACAGCCGCACAGCTGCAGTGGTAAAACTGTGCTGTTGTAAGGTCTGTAGTGTAGACATAGCCAAAATGTTCATTTAGAAATCTGCCACCCTAGGCAGCTGACTAGATTGCCTGTGTCTAGAGTGGCCTCTGGCTTCAGGCATAGCCCAGAGGGGAAAGGGGATGACTCATGGATGGACTGATGGCAGCTCTCCATCAGCAACAAACCACTCTTTGAAGTACAGTAACATCAGGAGGTGGGTGGTACCCCTACATTATTGATACAAGTCACTTTTCACCATGCTGCTGGAACAAAGCTGTCCTAAAGCTGGGGCAAAAGGCCATGGGAGGTTCACGCCAGCGTAGGAGGGTCTGTCAGTAGCATCAAGCCTGTGTCATGGCTACTCTGCCCTCCTCTCCCCGTCCCTGCAGCCAGTGTAGAGGGCAAGGACTGAGTGTCACGGCCTCCCACTGATCCCCGCTGCTATATCGGCCTCTTGGGAACTCTGACAGCTGGCACAAGTTAGAGCAGCTTTCAGACTGCTCCGATTTGTGTAGGGGGACCAGCTTTGTGCACAGCTGTCCTAGGATCAGGAGAGCGCAATGGTGACATAAAGTCAATTTTGATCTTCCTGGGCTACACTGTCTGCTCCTGTGCTGTCGCCAGGGTTTGGAGGCAAAGTGCAGCTATGGCCCAGAAAGGGACTATGTGAAGCTGGCTCCTTCTCAGTTCACAGATCTGTCCCCTGGATATTTTTTGTAATAGTAAATGCTGGTTTTATTGATCCAAGCCAGTGTTTACTCCTGTTAGCCCCAGCAGGCAGAATGGACTCCAGCTGTGGAGGAGTGACCTGAGCTCGCCTGCCTTGTGTGTAATTGGGTGGCTAAGTTCTCAGCAGAAAATGTTTATTTCTAGTGATGCTGAAAGAGGTAGAAAAAGCCCAGCCTCGTTCTCAGATCCCTGGGGGAGAGTTTGTGACAGCAGCAGTTGGAAAAATGGTCTTCTGCCTTGCAAACTAAGCACGTGCAATCTGGAATTTGGGACCATCCACAAGCTATTTTTGGAGTCTCTTTCAAGGTGTGAGTCTACTCTCAAAAGTGACCCTGGAAAAATGTTATTCTGGGGCTCCATGTTTGTCTCCTGATGTCTCCAGCTCAAATGTGCCCAGTTTCAAAATAAAAGGATTTTTGTCCTAACCACAAATAAACTCGGGGACCTGAGAGTCAAGCTGGGCTCTTTCCTTCTCACATGTTACCCCCAGGAATGAAGATTCTACAGGTTATATTAGGTTCTTAGTTACATCTCTGCACTCCTGTTGCCTTCAGTGAGTTTGCACATGTGTAACTAACAGGAATTTAGTAAACAAGGCTGCTGGCAATGCACAGGAAGGTATAGCTCCAGCTCCCTTTCTTCTCTGTGTCCTGTTTTTCATTGTTCCCCTGGCGTCTTTTAGAGGAGAACTGAAGTGTCATTTCAATAAATGTAAAAACTGTTTTAAGATCTCAGTAACAGACTATATATATGATATACACCATAGGAATGCTGATTGGGACTGTAACTTTACATCTAACATGGAGGGTTGCTTTGGTTTGTTTTTGTTTTAAAGTGGGATCAGTTTACACATTTAAAATAAGGATATTTTAATGATTTGTTTTTCAAATTGCAATCAGATTTAAAAAAAAATTTAAACTTCCTTGTGTGTAATATTCAGAAGAACCAGCAAGTGGAGCTAGCCAGTGTAGTGTCACTGTTCAAACTGAGGCAAAGTCTACACGACACGCTTAAATGGGTATAACTATGTCACTCAGGGATGTGAAAAATCCACCCCCCTGAGCAACAGAGTTATACCGACCTCACCCCCGGTGTTGACAGCACTATTTGGATGGGAGAGCTTCCGTAGCTACCGCCTCTCGCAAAGGTGGATTAACTACGCTGATGGGAGAAGCTCTCCCGTCGGCGTAGTGGTGTCTTCACTAAAGTGCTACAGCGGCACAGCTGCATCAGTGGAGCACTGTATGTGTAGACAAGTGCTCTGCGCAGTACAGAAAGGGAGCAAACAGCATTAGTGGTGAAAAGTCTATTCGTTCCCTCCTGATAAGTGACAGTGTCTTTAGTCACACACCGCCAGAGAGAAGCAGGGTTTCTATGTGCTTTTTAACTGAACAGTTACTAGTAATAGTCCTTTGGGCTGGGCTGGCACTTCTCGTATTCAAAGCACTTTACAAAGCCTTGCCTGGGAGCACAAGAGGGAAGAGGACGAAGCCTCCCTCTTCCCCTATGCCCCACGTGCAGGGCCCAGGTGCAGTTGCACTCCCTCTAATCTCCTGAGCATAGGGAGTGCTCCCAGCTGGTATCCCTTGGGGTGCCAGAGGAAGGGAGGCCAGGGCCTTTCCCTCTTTTCTGACTGCACAGTTCGTCCCACCTCCCCTGCTCCCATTCCAAAGCACACCAGGGCCCAGTAGTCACAATCTGGCCATAGCTAGTCAAGCTTCACAATCTTGCTCCTCCTTCCCATGTCCTCAGAAGTTATCCTGACTGGCTTCTTTGGCTTTTGTTTTTTTAGGCACCCACCCAGTCAATACTCATCCCCATCTCTTCATCCCTCCTGCCTTCTCCAGCCCTCTGGTAGCACCCCTCTCCCTGCTTGAAAAGCACTATAATCTGATCCCCTCCCACTGCCATTCCCGGCCTGATATGATGGCCACTCCTGACTGCTATCCTCTGCCATCTCCTCTGGCTTCCATCAGTTCCTTGTCTGATCCTCAAGGAGTTGAGATCCTAACTCACCTCTTTTGCCCCCCAGTGGCTCCTGACTCAGCAGTTTGCTGAGGAACTGGAGAAGATAAGCTGTGTAGCATCTGCATGCTGGGGAATCAGGGCAGGGGTTTTCCCACAACAGTTTAGGTGAATCAGAAATGGACTTGCTCCTTGCAACAGGTAGCCCTCCTTTGTGCCCCAGCTAGTGCTGCCAAACCCTCAAGGCTGGTTTTCAGCTGTTCTCCATCTAAGAATGGCTGGTCAGGGTGTGGGATGAAGCCCGGGTGTGTACGTGGGTGTTTGTGGGTAACCCTTTTGAAAAAGCATTCACCTTCCCCGGCAACTTCTCTGCACCTGCTGGCAGCTCTGCTCATGATGAAATCAACCCGCTTGATTACACAATAGGGGCATGGTGAAAGCCTGGGTCCCCTTGGACGCCCGGCTGCGTGTGTCATACTTCTAGAAGGCCTGGCTGGCAGAAGGGTGCAGTGTCTTGCCCCCTTGTGGTGGTGCTGGGGGCTAAGGGAACATGAAGCCCTTCTCCTAAGATACATTGGACTCCTCTGAAAGATAATGGAGAAAATGAAAGATTGGTCACATTGGCCCAAGGTATCTGTACAGGTTCTAACACTGGGCTGTGGATGCGGAGGGCTCGATGAAGGGAATTCTGCAGTGAAAGATGAGTTCAGATGCGAATGGGATTTCCCTCCATTACTGTATTTAATCACAAACTGAGTGTGTAAGTTCAGTGGATGGTGAAAGGTGGCAGACTTCAGTTGGGGGAGGGGTGAAAGGTGCCAGACTGAGAGACTTGCAGAAAGAAGACTTTATCCATAGAGCAGGCAGCAGCTGGGCGGAATTCAGCTTCCATGGCCACTTCAGTCTCTGGTGCTGGTACTGAGACTGCCGACAAGGCGTCAATCAGTGCTAGCTATAGAGGCATTTTTTACAAGGTGGGCACCTCTCTCCTGGGAACCTCAAGATTTCCCTCCACACCTACAGTCTCCACCCTTTGCCTTCTCTCAGACGGCCTACGACAGCAGCAGTAAGACCTTCCCCTCCTCCTCGGCTGCCCTCCTGGGAGTTGTGTGGACTTTCCTCACCGGTGGAGTCCTGCTGGCTCTTTTCTTTCTTGTCTTCACAATTCACTTCAGGAAGAACAGGTGAGCGACGCATCGTTTGGTTCCATCCTCCGTTATGGAATTTCCACACTAGCTGGGAGAACAATTTCCAGGGCTCTCATTCCTCATAGAATCATAGAGTATTAGGGTTGGAAGAGACCTCAGGAGGTCATCTAGTTCAGTCACCTGCTCAAAGCAGGACCAATCCCCAACTAAATTATCCCAACCAAGGCTTTGTCAAGCTGGGCCTTAAAAACCTCTAAGGATGGAGGTTCCACCACCTCCCTAGGTAACCCATTCCAGTGCTTCACCGTCCTCCTGCTCCCCACCATAAACTGATCATTAGCTGCGGGGCTGGAAGGCATTACCCCTTTGGGATAGAATTGGACTATTAGGGGCAGTTATGCGGGTCCTACCTGCCTCTGTCACATCCAGCGTGGAGACAGAATGGCATGGACCTTGGGTCTTCCTACCTGCCTCTGTCACATCCAGTGTGGAGACAGAATGGCATGGACCTTGGGTCTAACTTTGTAGGGTAGGGAGATGAGCTACTGGACAAGGTGACCATAGGCGTGATCTGCTGTTGCATCACTTATGTTCCTAAGTACTGATGTGAGTGGCAGCCAAGGAGTGAAGGGGCTCCATCCCGTTTCTCCCTTTGGCCGCTCACACCACCATCTCTGAGGTCACCATTGGTGATCCTTAGCAGAGCAGTCAGCAGAGGTGGGAAGAAAGAGAGATGATTCCCACCTTCACCTCAGAGTCTGAGGACATCACTTCAAGCAATGCATCTAAGGGAGTGAAGACATCCTGGTTTCAAACCATAAAAAAACATAAGAATAGCCAAAGTAGGTCAGACCTATCTAGCACAGTATCCTGTCTTCCAACAGTGGCCAATGCCAGATGCTTCAGAGGGAATGAACAGACCAGGACAATCACTAGATGATCAGTCTCCTGGTGTCCAGTCCCAGCATCTGGCAGTCAGAGGCTTAGGGACGCCCAGAGCATGGGGTTGCATCCCTGAGTAGCTTGATTAACAGCCATTGATGGACCTATCCTCCATGAATTTATTTAATTCTTTTTTGAGCCCAGTTATAATTTTGGCCTTCACAACATCCCCTGGTAATGAGTTTCACAAGTTGACTCCACATTATGTGAAGAAGTACTTCCTTTTGTTTGTTTTAAACTTGCTGCCTATTAATCTCATTGGGTGACCCCTGGTTCTTGTGTTATGTGAAGAAGTAAATAACACTTCCTTATTTGCTTTCTCCACACCAGTCATGATTTTATAGACCTCTGTCATATCCCCTCTTAGCCATCTTTTTTCCAAGCTGAACAGTCCCAATCTTTTTAATCTCTCCTCACATGGAAGCTATTCCATACCCTTAATCATTATGGTTGCTCTTCTCCATATTTTTTCCACTTCTAATATATCTTTTGTGAGATGGGGCGACCAGATCGGCACGCAGTATTCAAGGTGTGGGCATCCCATGGATTTATAGAGTGGCGTTATGATATTTTCTAGTTTATTATCTATCCCTTTCTTCATGGTTCCTAACATTCTGTTTGCTTTTTTGACTCCTGCTGCACGTTGAGTGGATGTTTTCAGAGAACTATCCACAATGACTCCAAGATCTCTTTCTTGACTAATAACAGCTAATTAAGACCCCATTGTTTGTTGGGATTATGTTTTCCAATATGTATTACTTTGCATTTATCAACATTGAATTTCATCTGCCATTTTGTAGCCCAATAACCCAGTTTTGTGAGATTCCTTTGTAATTCTTCACAGTCTGCTTTGGACTTAACTATCCTGAGTAAGTTTGTATCATCTGCAAACTTTGCCACCTCACAGTTTATCCCTTTTTCCAGATCATTTATGATTATGTTGAACAACACAGGTCCCAGTACAGATCCCTGGGGAACACCACTGTTTACCTCTCTCCATTCTAAAAACTGACCATTTATTTCTACCCTTTGTTTCCTATCTTTTAACCAGTTACTGATCCATGAGAGGACCTTCTCTCTTATCCCATGACTGCTTAATTTGCTTAAAAGCCTTTGGTGAAGGACCTTGTCAGAGGCGTTCTGAAAGTCCAAGTTCACTGTATCCCTTGGATCACCCTTGTCCACCTGTTTGTTGACCCCCTCAAAGAATTCTACTAGATTGGTGAGGCATGATTTCCCTGGACATCCAGGTTTCCTTCATGACACCAGACCATTCGTGGTTTGGATATAGGTTGCATTTTATCTAGGGCACTGGGTACTATGCAGTGTACTAGACCAGTATACAGCCAGGCACCCAGCATGGGTTTATATGGTAGAGCAGTATTGAATTCTGCAGCAATCTAAATTGATTACAGAATGACTTACAAACCTTCTAAGAATGTTCTCACTGTGGAACTGGAACAAATGCACAATATTTATTTGCCCTCGCGCAAATAAACATAGATGTGACTGATGAGCCTAGGAAAGCAGCGGGAATACCCCATATGCAGCTAGAGGAGGTGGCCTGGCTAGTATCCTAAACCAGTGGTTCTCAAATTTTTTTTTTTTCCCACGGACCACTTGAAAATTGCTGAGGGTCTCGGCAGACCACTTAATGATCTTTCTGAATGTTGTTTGTACCATTAGCTAACTATTGTAAAGCGCTTTGGATAAAAGCGCTATATAAAAAACTTAATAATAATTAAGGTTTTTTGTTTTACAAATAAAAGCACACAACTCATAGTCTTACCTTTCTAATGTAATTGATGTCCCCTCTGTCCCCTGCTGCAGCAGTCCCTGAGCTGGGGCTGGGAAGAAGGGGTGTCTCTCCCCGGCAGCTGTGAAGCTGGGGAAAGTTGCCTCTTTCTCTGCCCACCGCAGCCCTGTACGTCCCAAACTCCCCCCACCCCTTCTTCTCACCCCACTGCTCCCTCCCACCTACCCTCTATTCTCCCCAAGGCCACCACCTCACCTTACATGTGCGTCTTCTCCAGGGTTCAGGCACCTAATTAGTGGAGCCACGCCTGTGTCCTAAACCCTGCTGGAGTGGAGCTCTGAGGAAGACAGTGGGGTGGAAACACCTGGAATATTAATTCTGGGCTCCATGTTACCTCAGGGATAGTGCAAAACTGGAGAGACTTCAGAGAAGAGCAATAAAAATGATCTGGGGCTGAAGGCAGTGAGTTATAAAGTGAGATTAAAGGAGCTAAGTCTGTCTGATTAGACTGTGGTGACTAAAGAGCGGAACACATTAACAGTCTGCAAAGATCTGAAGGCTGGGAGCACCAGGGATGGAGAGGAGTTATTTATGGTTTGATCCCTGTGTACAATTAAGAATAATGGGATGAAATTAAGGAGGAGGAACTGTAGACTAAATATTGAAGGAAACTTTCTGGATATGAGGTGTATTAAACTATGGAATAATCTCCTCTAGGTAAGGAGTGGGAATGCCATCAGTTGGGACATATAAGACTGGACTAGACAAAGTACTTGACGTGCTCAGAAACTATGGTGATAAATGCGGTATAAGAACCTATATAGTATAGAACAGAACATGTACAACCGGGGACAGCCCTGCACTGTCCCTGGAGATGGACTGGATGATCTAATAGGGATTGTCTGTCTCCAACTTCTGTCATTCTATGACAGGCGGAGGGTTGTCCAGTGGTTAGGGCCCTAGTTTAGGAGTTAGGAGGGCTAGGTTTAATTCCTTGCTATACCAGAGTCTTCACGTGTGACCTTGGGCAAGTCACTTAATCTTTCTGTGCCTCAGTTCCCTGTCTATAAAAGGGGGATAACATCACTGCCCTACCTCACAGGGTGTTCTGAGGATGGATAGATTAAAGCTTTTGAGGTGCTCAGACCTAGAAGATGGCAGCCCTAGAAGAACCACAGCTAGATAGATGGCAGAGTTCCTAGTGAAAAAGTTCAACTGGTGCATAGGAGGCTATTTCCTGGAGGCAGCCCCTGTGGATAGCAGCAGCCAGGTAAGAGGCCTAGCCCCTTGCTGGTATGTAATAATGCTGTGTGGGAGGCTAGTCTCTATCTGTTGTATAAACTCCCCTTTTTTTAACTGTCACCCCCTCGCTTGCTTTGTTCCCTGGAGAATTGTGAAGATGTCCAGCCCCAATCTGAACATTGTGACACTGCTGGGCAGTGGCTTGACTTACGCTAGCGCTTACCTCTTTGGGATTCCGGAGCAAAGTTTGTTTTCTGGAGCCTCAATGGAAATGCTCATTCAGGTGAGTGAAGTGAACCAGGTGGGTTGATTGTGTTCTTGATTTGCCAGGAAAGGTTTTTAATGGACACACCGCCCCTGCTGAACTGTGATAGTCTCCCTGTCCTGGCTGCCCTGGGCACTGTGTTGAGCTTGTATTTTCACATACGCAAAGAGAAACCAGATACTTCCAGTCTGAATGGCCTCTGTTGTTAGATTGAGAGCAAACAACTAAACAAGAAAGAACATAAGTAAGGTCTCCAGGAGAGAGCACAGTTTGTGTAGCAGCTGCTCCTGCAGACAGGCAAGCAGACTCCTGCACTTTTAAAGGAGCAGTACAGAGGGCATGTAAAAACTCAGCAGTTAGTTATCTATATATAGCACAGGGTCCATGGGCAGCAAGAGAATGGGCACAATATCTTGGACACAAATATCACTTGGAAAACTTCATAAAAACTACACTCTGCCTACTTAATTCCTGATTTCTGTCCTGGGTATGGCCACTACCAGCTAGGGACCCAGTGCAGAGCAAACGAGGTGTGTGTGTACGGGGGGGAGATGAGAGCACTGCAGAGAGAAAGAACATCCAGCTCTCGGAGAAGGCAAACGCTGTGGAGAGAGTAAGAGGCAGGGAGGTTGTGTTCAGCCACCTGGATGAAGGTAATTAGCTGAGATGCCAGCTACTGCTTTATTGATGCTGAAGTCATGTATATGTTTCAGTCACTCTTGTGCTGCTTTGGTCTGTTTGCTCCTCTAACAGTTACTCTTGGGGGAATTCTGCACCACTCAGCATGCAGAATTTGCGCAGAAATTAATATTGTGCGTGCAGAATTTTCTTCTCTCCTCCCCCCACCCCCAGAAATGGGCCGTAGAGCTGCTGGCTGCCACTAGGGGCTACTGGATCTGGCAGAGCCCAGCTTGCAAATAGAAGACACTGCTGGGGTGGGGGGAGCTGGAAGGTTCCTAGCAGCTGCAGTTCTCAGCATGCCCTGAAGGAAGGAGGCGGCAGCGTGCAGGAAACTCCACACAGGCCTGGGACCCAGCATCAGGCTGTTTCTCCTTCTGGATCCCTGGGCTGTGGAGGGGATGGGGTGCAGGTGTCTAGGCGGGGTGGGTGCCTTGTGATTGGGCTCTGCGGGGCGGGAGCAGAGAAACAGAAACTAGGTTGACAGGAGTTTCTTTAATTCTACTCCTGGGGGAATTTGTGTGTCTGTGTTGTGAAAGACATACTTGCTGACAGGAATTTTGAAATAAATTACAAAAATAATTGAAACTGGCTTGATTATATAGTGTTATTTTGATAAATAAAATGCGCAGAATTTTGCAGAATTTTAAAATATTGTGCACAGAATTTTTAATTTTTTGGTGGAGAATTCCCCCAGGAGTAAACAGTAGCTTTTGGTTCCTCCACAGACTGGCAGAAAAGGAAGGGATTGCATCTTCATAGCCTGCTCCTGGCTCGTTCTGCCTCAGATACGCATGCTGGGTGGCTAGTAGCTGCTCCTGATGGTGACACTGGGCACAGCCCCTGCCCCAGGGTGGATAGTGCCACCTCCCAGCCCTGTGGTCCTGTCCAATAACATGAGCTCTACGGGCAGCAGCTTTGCTATTAAACTGGTGTCTTTTTTTTTTTTAATGGGAATTCCTGAGGATGGAAGGCCACTGCCCACTGTGGTGTCCTGATTGGGAGACCTTCTGTACTAGGTTTGATTGGAGTTCCTCAGCCCAGAGTTTTCTGTCTACCAGGCATGGACTGGCTGGCAGATATGGGGTCCCTATTTACTAGTTTTCCTTTCCTTTCTGTGGGTGCTTGGCCAGGGAAGGGGGCAGAGCTCCCTTGGGAGCAATATGGAAGCCCAGCAGGGAAAGTGCTACTTGTACCTGCCGGGTTTTGCTGCCTGGTAACAGGAACCTCCAATCCCATCTCTCACTCTCTGCCTCCTGTCTGCAGGTGAGGCTCTGCTTGCTGTGTGTTGGGAGCTCCCTGGTCTTCGGGCCCATCCTAGGCAAAAGCTGGCGGTTGTACAAAGTGTTCACACAGCGCGGTCCAGAAAAGAGGGTGGTAAGTACTCGCAGTACATGCCCCGTGCACTGGAACACAGAGGCTCCTCACCTGTGAGGTGCTGGGGCTCTCCGCATGGGCTGCACTGAGAAGCAAAGGGAAATGCTTGACAAAAACCATACTCTACAAGGTCCATGAATCATTTGCAGAATGTGGATGGGCTTGAAATGAGAGATAATAGGGAATGCCGGGACGCATAGGATCGACAGTGGGAATATAGCGCTTCAGGCACTTAGATACCAGCATCACAGGCACAGAGTAAAACCTAGCTAGACCGGGCCCCATTCCCCACTGCCTTGTGCAGTCATTTACACCTGTGAAAAGCAGGGGTAAAATGCTACCAAATCAGAATAGTGGAAATGACACGAGCAGCAAGGCAGTGGAGAATCAGGCCAATAGAACAGAGAGGAGGCAGGAGGAGTTTAGATACCTGACTTATCTAAAGCATTTGTTCTCCTGCCAGGTGGGGCATGCCCATCTGGTGATAATCACTGGTCCCTTTGTGAAATGAGTTGATGGTTTCTTACACTGTCCAAGTGTCCCCATCACAAAACCCACCAGCAGGATTGCCATTTGTAGGTCCTCTTCTTGTTAATCGCACATCAATGAGGTCATGGAGACAGAACTCCCTTCTCACTCCTAGAGGGGTCTTCTTTAGTGAAGCACTGAATGAAGGAAGTTTGCCTTGCTGCTATCCACGCTTTCTGCTCATCCTGTGAATAGAGGTTGCCAGACTCCAGGAGTGTTGGGTTGGCACCTTCTACCAGCACTAAATTCACACACAAATATTTTAAGAAAGAAGAAAATACATCTCTTACAAAAGAAAAAATATCTGAAAATCACTTAGTACCAGCTTTTTCCAGCACACCCTCTGCAGATTTTGGTGTCATATGAAATTGCCAGTTTCTGCTGCTGGGGAAACCCCAAGCCCGAGCTCAGGTCATGGTAGGTAGAATAAAAATATTTTCAACTGTCCTTTAAGCAAAGACCTCTGGGTGCCCTACCTTTGCTGGCTGGGACTGAAGTTTCTTTATAACTAGGGTGACCAGATGTCCCTATTTTATAGGGACGATCCTGATATTTGGGGCTTTTTCTTCTATAGGCGCCTATTATCTCCCACCCTGTGACCCGATTTTTCACACTTGCTGTCTGGTCACCCTATTTACAACAGAATTATCCAACCAGCCCTATTGCAGGGCATTGCTCATGTATCCTCTGGGGGTGGGATGTAAATCAAGTGTCTTTTCCAGAGTTCACTCTCTGGAAAAAGATACCAGGAGGCCGAACTGCCAAAGCAAAAAAAAAAAAGCCTCCCGGACTGTGCCGCCCCCAGAATGGACGGAATGCTGCCCCCCTTAGCATGTGCTTCCTGAGGCACGTGCTTCCTGGAGCCGGCCCTGCCAGAGCTCAGTCTCTGGGTTGGTGGCCTAGCACTTAGTTTTCAGCACCACTGGGGGGAGGCCTTAAGCTCAAACATCTGGATCTTGTTCCCAAACTTTGTTTTAATGATGATACATCCACGCTTCAGAATTTAGACCTGGATTTGGAACAATTCTAATTTTTGGGAGGTAAGAGAAAGAGTCAGATCCAGGGATTTGGATCTGATCCTTAAAGAGAGAAAGCTCTTTGTGAGATTTGGTCTGGATCTGGGTTTGGATCTCCAATCATACCTGTAGTTTGGAGCTGTTTGGACCTGGGTTTTTCTTCAGAGCCATTTTTGGTTTTTCTAGTTATTTTTAATATAAAAACGAGTGAAACAAATGTCAGCAAGTATTCCTGACTCCCCTCTCCTGGTGCAACCACTTCAGGAAGGGCTGGAGCAGACCCTCTTTCTGCTGGGGGAGGGTTCTGAAGACCTCTGTGCAGCACAGGACAAAAGGGGGCATGCCAGCTGTGAAGAATGTGGGAGTTATCTGTATTGATTTTATGAATGTTATCTATAGATCTGTGTGGACTTGGGGGTTATTTTGTTGCTGTGCAAAGGGGAACGAAGGTGCTAAATCAGTTTGAGCTAACTTTGGACCGCATGTACCAAAGGCTACTGGGTGTAGACAGCCATAGGCAGACATACAAGGGAGGAGATAATGCCTTTGACGTTTACCTCCACAAATTGGGATTTGGCTAGTCCTGCAGTCTGAGGTTAGTCTCCAGCTTGAAATCCCAGGGCTTTGAGGTGGGAACTTTCAAACAACAAGATTTGAAGCAGTTAAAAAACAGCCTCAGAGGAAAGGAGAGACAGCGGGTCAACAGGGAAACTGACTGTAACATAGTCTCCAGGTGCTGGGGTCCCAAGATAAATGGGGGGCCTACCTAAACATGCAGGTAAGGCCAAGCTTAGGTAAGACAATATGCGTATATCGGCTTTTGTTATTTTTAACCTTTTTCTTTCTGCTTGCGATGTCCCTATGGATAAATAAACCATACTCTGTTTTGGAACAAGCGGTTTTCTGTCACTGTATTCACTGCTCCCAGGGAGGATTCTAGAGCAGGAGCAACACCAAGTTGGACCTGCTGCACATAATATGGTTGAGAAACAGGAGGCGCTGTCAAAAATGGTCCATTTTAAATCAGTGGGGTGAATTGTGGGATTCCACTCTGGGGGAAGGGGCAGTATAGACCTGTCATTTGAAAGAGCCCACGAAGAGCCACAGAGGTCACAGGTGCAGCTCATCCCTGAACCATAACACTGACCCTTCTGTGTGTTGCAGATTATCAAAGACCTCCAGCTGCTGGTGGTGGTGGTGGTGCTGGTGCTGGCAGATGCCATGCTGCTCACAACATGGATTGTCTCTGATCCAGTTCAGTGTTTCCAAAGCTTCAGTGCATCCCTGAGGGTAAGAGGACAATAGCAAGAGGCTGAACACTGCACCTTTGTGTCTGTCATGCTATGATTCAGCCCAGCAGATCTCTGCAGGCATGAAAGATGGAAGGGGTTGTTTTAGAGAAGTTTCTAAGCCACACATTTTGGAGCTGATCTTCCTCAGAGGTGTGAGGTGTTGTAAACTGGGGTTAGGGTTGGACCCTTATGGAGACAGAGGCCATTTGCGGAGTTCCAGCCAAACATGCCTGAAGCTGGACAGGAGGATCTGGTTCCAGAGCTTTGATTTGCTACCATTATAAGTTCTAACCAATGCCCTGTCTGCTCTGCAGAGAGCATGACCTGGATTCTGCAGCTCTCCAGCATGGGAGACTGGCGAGTCTGTGGCAGGTGCAGAGAAATTTGAAAACTGAAGCTTAATGAGCATGTTGGCAGATGAATACCGAAGCTGGGTATCTTTCCTCCTTGAATTCTCTGCTCTCAATAGCACTTTCCCAGTCGTTAGACAAGCTTTCACATTTCCACTTTGAAATTTGTGCTTAGACACCCCCTAAACCATGTATCCACTTGTCTGTTTGTCCATCCCTATGGGCTGGAGCAGGAGCCTTCATTTCTGTGTTCTGACTGCCTCCCAGGTGACTGACAAGGGCATGACCTGTTCGGTGGGTAGGATGCAGTTCTGCGCGTCTCTCTACTCCGAACTTTGGCTCATTCTCATTTTAGGGTTTAAGGTATGTAACCTCTCTATTCATGCCTGCATCTCATCTCACCTCCCTCCAGTCTAGCTACAAAATGCTGCTGCTGCTGCTAAAATTCTCTTCCTCCCCTAATACTCTGGCCATTTTACTCCCTTCCCTGGCTGCCTCTCACCTTCAAATTCAAGGTTCTTGTGCTCATCTTGAAGGTTCTTCCCATTCCCATTCAATTCTGCTTCTGTGTTCTCTTTCGCTGTTACCCATCTCCCCTGCCAAGACTCCCTCACAAAAGTCCCCTTTGTATCTTTCTCTCAGTCTCATCTTCATGCTTTTTTCCTTGCTACCCGTTATGCTTGGAACCATCTCTCTCTCTTTGTTTGCAAAACAACATCTCTCACCTCATTCAGATCTCTCCTTAAAACTCACTACTTCCATGAACCCATAGACAAACTGCACAGCTGGGGTAGGGGACCCTGAGTCTGTGCAACAGAACAGTATTAATAATAACCATTTAGGTTTTGTCTACATGGGGAAACTTACTAACATAATTATACCAGTTTAATTATACTGCTGTAGTTATACAGGTTTGACTTCCTGTGTGGCCATTCCTATTGTAGAATAAGAGTGCCACACAGGGAGTAGTACTGACATAGCAATATAATTACAGTGGTAAATTTCCCTGTGTAGACAAGATTTTAGTTCTTACATAGCACTTTTCATTTGTAGACCTCAAAGGGTTTTACAAATATACATTAACCCCATTTTACAGGTGGGGAAAACTAAGGCATCCAAGGGCCAGATTTAAAAAAGTATTTAGACATTGCTGAGGTGCTTAGGAATTTAGATCACGGTATCCAGGAGCCTTAGGCAGTGTCTAGCCTTCAGCCGCTGCAGCCGCGCCACTGTAAGGTGCGCAGTGTAGCTGCTCTTTGTCACCAGGAGAGAGCTCTCGCAGTGACAAAATAAAACCACCCCGAACGAGGGGCAGTAGCTTTATCACCAGGAGTGTGGCTCCTGCTGACAAAGTGCTGGCCACACCGGCGCTTTCTGTCGTTCAGGGGGGTGGTTTTTTTCACACCCCTGAGCGACAAAAGTTTTAACAATGGAAGTGCAGTGTAGACATAGCCTTAATCTCATATTCAAAAGGGATTTAGGCATTTATGATCCAAAACCCCATTGGCAGACTGATTGGCTTCTATGTGCAAGTCCCTTAAATACTCAAGATATAAGCAATTACTTGGCTGCTCTCCTTGATATCATATGTGTTGATCATCTACATCAGCTACTTTGCTCCTGTTCTGTATTAAATTTTCCTCAAATCCAGAGGGATTATCTTTACAGTCATTGGCCTCTATGAACTCTTACTGTTCTTGCTTTTAAAAATAAAATATTCTCTTTCCTGATGCCAGCTGCCCATGTTTAATAATTCACTGAGCCTGTCTCTGGTCTCATCTGCAGGGTTATACACCCATGTAGCTCCATTGTCTTCCCTGGAATTAAGCCTGATTTACACCAATGTAAGTGAGAACAGAATCAGTCCCTTTGTGTACATATGTCACTCCTTATCTTCAAGGGCATTAACATTCTCAACCCCTTGGGAGGCAGTTCAATATTCTATCCCCATTTTACTGGCACAGAAATGGAGTGACTTGCCCAAGGTTGCACACAGAATCAGTAGCAAAGCCCTTTCTAGAACCCAGGAGTTTTGAATCTGTCCTGTGCTTGTTCCATTCCCATTTGTCACAAGATGGTACCTTAATCTGTCCCCTGGATATTGTTGCCAGGACAATTACATAGTTTTAAATGGGCCATAGATGGCTGCCTATTCTGGCTCAGGGGATTAGAAATTGTCTATAGAGCTTTTCACCTTTTTGTCACGAGTTCACAGGTAGCTTGTGACTGAAAACTGTGATAGTGCAATGTCTGCTTGATGGTGTGTATGAAATTAATTTGAGTCTCGGTCCAGTTCCTAGTGAGACAGACATCAACACCGCAGAAGCACCATCAGAACTGAACTAGTGGCAATCCCAGCAGAGAGGCCACCAGTAGTCATGGTCTTCAAAGCGGAACTCCCTTCTTGCCCATAAAGATGGACTCTCCAGGCTGATGAGCATCCAGCCTCCCGGCAGGCTCATGCTCATTACAAGGCATTGTGAGGGGGCAGTTTGCACTGTCACTATTCCTGTTCTGTGGGCAGACTGTTGATTGACTGCGTGCAGGGGTGGCAGGTTTGTATATTTTTTGATGGTGCCCAGAACGGGTCAAAGTTCCGCCCCTCCCCCGACACCTGCCTTGTAAGCCAATATATATATAGTTTAAAATAATGTAAAAATGTGAGGGCTCTGGGGTGGGGCTGGGGATGAGGGGCTTGGGCAGAGGGTTGGGATGCGGGGGTGTGGGCTGTGGGGTGGGGCCGGGGATGAGGGGGTTCACAGTGCAGGAGGGGGCTCAGTGCTGGGGCAGAGGGTTGGGCTGTGGGGGGTGAGAGCTCTGGCTGAGGGTGTGGGCTCTGGGGTGGGGTGGGGCCGGGGATGAGGAGTTTGGGGTGCAGGCAGGCTGCCCAAGGCTGAGGCCAGAGAGGAGGACTCCCTCCAGCCCTCTCCCTGCTAGCAGCACACTCACCTCACACCACTGTCACTGCACATGCTCCTAGGACCCCTCTCAGGTCCAGGAAGCCCCCTCACCTCCCCTGTGGTGGGTGCCATGCCGGGGGGGCTGCCATCGCATGTGTGCCTCCTCCTCTGCTGCTGCCCCTCACTGTAGCCTCACTGGGGGTGGGGGATGGGGCTGCCCCTTGCCCAGCATGGGGCAGGAGCGGTGACTGTGGGCGGGGAAGCCCCCTGTGCTGGTGGAGGGTCCCACTGCAAAAGGGAAGAGTCCGTCCGTCCGAGGTGGAAGGGCAGGGGCAGGGTCAGCCTGCCCTGGCACTAGTGGTTGGGGGGCACTAGGACCCTGTAGTGGCAGTTGATGCCGGGAGCCAGCAGAGCGCAGCGCAGAGATGCAGGGGGCAGCAGTCTGCTGCCCAGGGTGCAGGCAGGGACGCGCAGAGGAGGCGTGTGGGGGCGGCAGGCAGGACCGGGGGAGAGACCCGGCCCCAAACATTGGTGGAGCCAGGCCCCCATGCCCTGAATATTGCTGGAGCGTGGGCACCACGGTCCCATATAACTCGCCGCCCCCGACTGCGTGCTCCCTTCAGCACCTTCCACCAACACTCAGGAAATTTTACAGAAGAGCAGAGAAAATAATTGTACTTTTACAGGCCAATAGTTTCCCAGAGCTTTCCTTAAAATATGCACCATTTTCTGCTCTTTCTCCAGTCCACTATTTCCTGTTTCTTCCTCTCTTGCCACTTTTTTTTTTCAATTTACAGATGGCTCCTCTCTGTTTTCTTGGAGTTAGACTCATCGTTCTTTGATGGTAGAACTAATTTCTTCTGTTTCTTTTTCTTCCTTTAAGGAGTTTCTGTCTGTCAGTCTTTGGTGTTCTTTTTCCAGGACTCCTTTCCATTTTGGGCTCCTTTACAATTCTTACTATTGGTTCTGATCAGCAGCACCCTCTGTCAATCTAATCCTAGACTCCCCCCTCACAATTCTACTAATACTTCTCAGTCTTGACCTGCAGCACCCCCTATTATTCCAATCTTGCCCCCGTCTCCATCCAGCTCTGCCTATGCACCTCAATTCTGACCTGCAGCAACATGCTGAGTATTTGCTGCCGAGCTACCATATCAAACTGAATTTCTGCATTATAGATCAAAGAGTGTTAATTAAAATTGCACTGAATGTATCTGAGCTTCATTGGCTCAGTATGGGTTGGGGGAAAGACTGTGACATACAGTAATTTTCCTCACTCTGGAAATCTGTAAAACCTCTTCTCCTAAACCAAACCCCTTATCCCTATTTTCTGATTCCAGAGCATCCTGTTGATATATGGGACGTACCTGGCTGGTCTGACAGATAATGTCAGTGCTCCACCAGTGAATCAGTCCTTGATCCTCATTGTTGGGGTCAACCTCATTTTCCTTGCTGCTGGGACAGTTTTTTTAGTTAACTGGTTTTTCTACACTTGGCACAACCTGGTCTTTGGTTTTACATCTGGAGGCATCTTCATCTGTACGACCACAATCAATTGCTTCATCTTTGTTCCACAGGTATGAAACAGACTGTGTTCTAAGGGCCTGGCCTGATAGGTCTCCTCCGATATGAGCACACGTAGATAATGTGTTCTGAAATGCTCACTCTCTTTTTCTTCTGGGATAGCACAACAATACAAATACACAAAGTCTGGGCGGAAGCTCCAGCTGGCTCAGAGGCTGGAGTTGTGATATGGAGCCTTTCATCTTTAACTGCTGGTCATCAGGTCAAATCCAACCAAGGTGGTAGCAACTAAAAAATCATTCCAGTCTGTTTGCTAGTCAGTGGCTTGTGTGAAATGAGTTTTGGGGCCTCTGGTTTTAAGCATTTATATTACACTCATTTATACCAGACTCCTTGGGCTTGGTTCCTTCTTGACTGAAAGCTAAGAATCTGGAAGAGAAAGTGGTGTTTTGGGAAAGGAGGTGGTATGCTGTACTGCTGCTTCCTTCCAAATCTGAGCCCTGCAAACAATGCAGGAATCCCTTCCTTACAGGACATACCAGACTGGAATGTGTTTGCCGAGCACCCCAGAAGGGGTTAGGGGAGGAAGTTGGGGTTTATCCCTGTCCTTACGTTCCTGGGGATCTGTGGTGTCTGCAGAGCGCACAGGACCTCAGGTCTGCAATTTTTTTCCAGTAAATTAAACCTTGCACTTCAGGTTTTTGAATACTATTTCAATTAAATGTTGATAAATAGTGACTAAAATATCACCCAAAAAAGTGACACTGCGTTCTCCTGTTTGGACCAAAGTGGCTCAGAAGCTGAAGAACTGAGCCAGACCTTGTGGGATTTGAAGCTCTGGTTCCAGGGAGTTTGGACAACCACAGTAACCACATGGCCTCCATCCACGAATCCACAAGACCACTTTCCTTCCAATTCCTCCTGCCATTCCCCCAAAATATCCAGGGTAACTCACACCACCATCTACTTAATCCCCAAGTCCATAGCAGCTCTATCCTTCTGGTCAACCCCCAAGAATCCAGTAGCTATGCGTCTCCTCCCAGTCCTTAATGGTGCCTCCTTTCCCTCATGTTCCTGGTGTTCTGACCCCTCCTCCACTTCCCACAGGGCCCTGGTGTCTCTGCTAATCTCCTCCTCTCCCCCTTTCCTCTCTGTGGCTCTGCCCCTTATTTATGGGGTTTGGTAAAAGAAGTGGCCACTGCCATCTGCTTCTCCCCTGGGTAGGTGACCACCTCCCCACATATTGCTCCCATAGCAAAGCCAGGGTGCTCTAGGAGCCATCAGAGGAGTTTGTGGAGTGGGAGAGGAGCAGGCAGATGGGCGAGAGGCTTCAAAGGAGACAGTAGTTGTTTTTCTAGCTCTCTGGTAGCTGTGGGCTGTTCCTGCCATGGGAGGGGTGAATTTGGCAGTTTTCCCCACCCTACTAGTCCTCTGCTCTCCCCTCCTCTGCCCTGACAAGCAGCGATGGGAGGGGCAGCCCTTGGAGCCACCCCTAGACTTGTGACTACCAACCGCCACTGGATTTGGTCAATATGATACCCCTGCAGGGAATACTGGTGTTTGAATCAGAGGTCATAATACAAGAGAGTGAGCCCAGCA